CAGGTCTTTTCCAGAGTATCTGCCTCTCGAGTCGACCCTCGAGAGGCGAGCACCCCTTCTGAAGTCCTCCTGGTTAAAATTCAAATCTCTTTACTCTGCAATACTTGGACAGAATTCATCTCAGCTCTAATTCTAACCAATGAGAAATGCAATAACCCTGAATATCGTACCAAGAAATCGTATATTCATTGTTCTCGGAAGTAAAGCGAGACTCTTGAGCTCATGCCACGGAAGATGAATCCTCTGTGATCTTACCGGGAGTAGGATGAATCTAAACCAAAGGGAGCGTCCGTGCATCTCGGATTGAAACGAAACCGTGGTGATAAGAGCTCCTTTCTGAGCTTTCGCTGTTCAATGAGAGAGTAATGATCATGTTCCAGAAGCACAAAATAATCCAGAAACCCAGATATCAGGGAAATTTTGTTGTGCGCCATTTTTCCGAAAACTGACCACAATGGAGGCCATTCTTGGCTAATCTCCATATGATATTGTTTATGTAATAATGAATAGACACACGAACAGGTAAATATATACAGAGGAAAATCGATAAATGAATGCATTTCATATTTCAACTTTTCCTTCCTTTCATGCCAATCAGTCACTCCTCTTTGACCGCGATTCGCAAACTTATCTCTTCATTACGTTCCTCGCCAAAGTGAAGGGTCGTCAGCCCGGCTCGCTTTGCCTTGCTGCCGCGACCTTGATCTGAGGGAAGGTGGAGGCAAACATATTCCTTTAATTTAACGAATTTAACCGAACCTCTCCCTCTCCATCTCTCTCTCTCCCCTTCTCTCTCTTGCTCTCTCTCTTCTCTCTCTCTCTCTCTCTCTCTCTCCTCTCCCTCTCCTCTCTCTCTCCCTCCCCGCTTGTCTCTCTCCCTCCTCCTTTCTCTCTCTCTCTCTGCTCTCTCTCTCTCTCTCTCTCTCGTCTCTCTCTCTCTCACTCTCTCCTTCTCTCTTTCTCCTCATGCTCAGCTCCTCATCCCTCTCTCCCTATCTCTCTCTCTCTCTCTACCTCTCTCTCCTCCTCACTCCTGCTCCTCTCCCTCTCCTCCTCTCTCTCTCTCTCTCTCTCTCTCTCTCTCTCTCTCTCTCTCTCTCTCTCTCCACTCCTTCTCTCTGTTCCTCTCTCTCTTCTCTCTCTCTGTTCTCTCCCTCTCCTCCTCTCCTCCTCGCCCTCCTTCCCTTTCTCTTCTCTCTCTCTTCTCTCCGGGCTCCTCTCTCTCTCTCTCTCTCTCTCTCTCTCTCTCTATATTATATATATAACTCTCTCTCTCCTCTCTCTTAACTTCTCTCTATAACTCTTCCTTCTCTCCTCTGCTCTCCTCCTCTCTCTCCTCTCTCTCTTCTCTTCTCTCTTCTCTCTCTCTCCCTCTCTCTCTCGCTCCTCTCTCTTCTCTTCTCTTCTCTCTCCTTTCTAACTTTCTCTCTTCGCCTCTCTTTCTCTCTTAAAAAAATATTCCTTGCCTTTTTGAGAAATTTGAATTAGAACTTAACGAGAATCACAACACAAATATTATGTCTAAATAATAAGATATATCAAAATGGATTTTAACAACCAAAAGAATAAGAATGTTAAAATTTAAATTCATTTTGCCGCGTCTGAGCACTAGTCGTTTCTTCCTTAAGCTGCAATTAAGGTGATGACCATTTCTGAGAAGACCGACCAGCTGCCTTTGGCTGCGTGAATACTGAAAGGAAAGAAAATGTAAAATGAGAGAGAATTCTCGTCTTATCTAAAGAGAATAATAGAACTGAAAGTTTCTCTACACCTATCTACTCACACAGATAATGGCACTTCTCAAACCTAACACATTTATTAACTCGCTTGAATGCTACAAAAATCACTAGAAATTCTATAACCTTTGGAAAGTAGCTATACAGGACTTGTTAACATCAAGGTTTTTAAAGATTAAAGATAATAATAAACTCCGATCTCTGCCAAGGTACCCCTGCTGCTTTGGAAACTTGCAACAGCATTCGAAAAATATGTGTTACTGCATTATGCATTTTTATTCTAGGCGTGTAGGAAACCTCCGAATGTAAAATGAAAAAAGAATGTGTATTCCGCACTTCTGCACAAGGCAAAATAGGCTGTGAAATAACGAAAATCATACATTTTTGTATCTTAGACATCTAGAGGTTGTTGTTTTTTTGTTTTTGTTTTTGTTGTTATTGGTGTTGGACATGTAATATCTGTTACATATAACAAAATATCTGCTCATTCTGTTACAAGTGTATACATAACATGATCTAACTGTGATTAATATTCACGAAGAGAGAGATTCATAGATATGTTCTGTCCCCGAGCAAGGAATCGATATTCAGGAGGCCGTCCCTGAGTCACAGAAGCTGAGTCTGGAGTCGATTCCGGTCCAACCCTGATGTTAGGATATATTCATTATAGCTGATGTAAATTCTAGAACAATTATGTAATTTTCCCGTTTACACCTTTTCAAATTCCGTTTACGTTTTCTTCCATAACACCGTGATATCACTCTCTTCTTTCCCAAAGCTCTTCCAACACCCATCTCATGCTCAACATTTACCTATCACTATGCGATATCTTCCCCATGCTTTTTTCTCGGAGATTTGCCTCCCGCGCTGTCAAATATCTCCGACGAGTGAGAGAAAGTTCCTCGTTCCAAGGTCCATTAGGCTTCGGATCCATTTATGCAGCGGCGTTGGACGAGAAGCCGGCCCGTGAAATGAGATCCGCCCTACTTGTTGATCCTGGCCCGGGTGCGGTCGGTGGTGGGGGGGGGGGGTTGGTGACGGAGATACCAGATTTGCAGCACACTCACTCATATATGTATATGTTTATTTATTTACATATTTTATATGTATGTGTGTATTGTGCGGTGTTGGGTGTTGTGGTGTGTGTGTGTGATATACTGCATATACATATATTATGATGTGTGTGTATGTGTGCATA